GTCCGAGGCTGACACGGCTGAGGAGGCTGTTGTGTGTGCATAGAACCTAAAACATGTCAAATTATGCCTATGCAGTGCACCTTAGACTTCTTAAAGGTTTGGGATAGATAGCCTTGTGCCACTGCTACGTAATGCTAGCACGCTATGTAATTACGCACATTAATTGGGCTTCTTTAATTAGAATTGTAGTTGGAAGCAAAAGGAGTTGACGAAAGTTTTGAGTTTTGCACTTCTTCTCCCAAATATGCATAGCTGTAGAGATATTGGCAGTAGTTCGGAAGTACTATTACGCTAAACTTTTCAATTGAGTATGGGAATATATTGTAACGCCTTCGTTGTCATGGTGAAAAGTATTGTATGGTGAGAAATGCTGATCCAAGAATTTTTGAGATTTTTCTTACACTGCAGCTGATTCTTGCATGAGTCACAAAGATAATATTTGCAGGTCTAAATAAGCGCAAACCTTCAAAAAGTGGCTTAGTTAAGCATTTTTTTTCTTCTGACAACTGTCTCGCACTAATATTACAGTGCTGATTCACTTGACTTAAAGCTGTATTTTTGAAAAGTCAGAAAAAGGCTTTTTTTACTTTTAAAATAATTCCCTGCTACTAAAAAACCGCCCGGTTAGACAAATAGTTTAAAAAAAAACAGGAGTAGCCCTCAAAGATGCACGAAACTAGGGTCATAAAACAGCAGTTCACTCTCTTAAACTCTTGTATGTGTTAGTAAATTATAAACCCAAATCAATGTTTAGTTGCATTAGGCCGGTCTTGCTCCTTGAAATTAATAAAGCAGGGTGTCAACCGAGTGCTTAAAGAGGTTGGAAAAATCTATTGTCAGTTTCAAAAAAAAGAATAGGTTCTGAATCATTTGATCTTCTATTTTAATTTCCTAAAACTCTCTCACATACAATATCGATTGCTCTTTTCTTGCACATGACAGAGATTACGGATAATTTCTGAAGGTATAGAAAGAAAGTGTAATCGTAGATCTAGGTCACCTTCTAATAGAAGAAATAGCTCTGCAAAAAATATAAATTCGATTGGCAAATAACATTCAATCCAAGACTAAAATATATCAAGCGTGTTAAAGGATAATGAGTTCAGGAACAATTTCCAGGGAGCTATAAATTCCCCCTTCTCCACCCGCGAGATGTTTGCCCCTAACAGATTTGATTAGACCTCCCGCAACCTTTTTATCCTGCAGTGCAAGAGTGATTCAGAACTTTCAAATGTAAGAAAAATGGCGGGTTCTATAAATAGGCATTCTTATCAATTACTAAAAAAACTTGTGTAGGTAGAAATTAACTTACGCATTAATATTGGCAAGTAACGTCGAAAGTACGGCTGGCACTCCGACACACATATATTTTGTACAAAGGCACGCGAAATGTGTCATGGCCTAGAAGATCCACAAATATGAACAAATAAGATAAGCTTTCTCATAAAATCGGAGTTCTCCTACCTGATAGATACTCTCGATCCCATAGCGCATAGCAAATTCTTCAACTATTTCCTGACCAACATCATCAAAATACACTTTCCAACTATCTTCACCTTTAGCATCTGGCAGTTT